GCTTTCCTTCCCGTCTTCGTTCTCGCATTCGTTCCCGCCCTCGTTCCCGCCTTCGTTCTCGCCTTCGTTCTCGCCTTCTTTCCCGCCTTCGTTCCCGCTTTGTTGTCGTTGTTTGTTAGCCTTCGTTCCCGCCTTCATTCTCGCCTTCGTTCCCGCCTTCGTTTTCGCCCTCGTTCTTGCCTTCGTTCTCGCTCGCCTTCGTTCCCGTCTTCGTTCCCGCCTTCGTTCTCGCCTTCCTTCTCGCCTTCGTCCCCGCCTTCGTTCTCGCCTTCGTTCTCGCCTTCGTTCTCGCCTTCGTTCTCGCATCCGCCCTCGTTCCCGCCCTCGTTTGCGCTTTCGTTCTCGCATTTGTTCTCGCCTTCGTTTTCGCCTCCGTTCCCGCCTTCGTTGTCGCCATTGTTTTCGAATTTGTTCTCGCATCTGTTTTTGCGTTCGTTTCCGCATTCGTTTCGGGCCTTTCTCTTGTTCTTGTTTCCGCTCTCGTTCCCCTTTTCGTTTCCGCCATCGGTCTCGCCCTTGTTCCCGACCTTTTTCCCTTCTCGTTTCCGCCCTCGCTCCCGCTTTCGTGCCCGCCTTCGTTCTCGCTCTCGTTCCCGTCTCGATCCCGCTCTGACGGGGGGGGGCTCTGCCAATCGCCTCTTCCGCCCGGGAGTTGAGGGGCGTCGACGCGGCAGCGGCCGCAGCGCAGGCGCTCCAGATTCACGCCTGCCAGTGGTGCCGCGTTCCCCGACGTTGAGCGATTTGGCCGTCAGCGTTGACAGAACCACGCGGTGTCAGAAACCAGCACTGACGTTGGCGCGATTGGTATACGCCGCACGTCCAGTCGCCGCATCGATGATCGCGTTATCCATCCACTCATTGCTCGCGCTCGCTTGGTTTTTTGCCCGCGCGCTCGTGGCAAGGCATTTCTGACGAGGGCTCTGAGGGGGGCAAAAAATGCGGGAACTGTCTCATCAACGGCTCCCCCCCTTGGGCTTTCAATGCGTGTCCGTTACTGCATCGATGATAATCTTATCAACCTGCTTCTCGCCCCTCTCATTCTCGGCTGTCCATCCTGCTTATCGTGCCTCGCCGGTTCGATCAGTGCTCCGCCGGAGAAGCGGAGCCACAAAGAGAACCGATGCGGGTGTTCTCGCCGCCGTTCCCGTCTTTTTGTTCGCCCTCGTTTCCGTTTTCGTGCCCGCCTTCGTTTCCGCCTTCGTTCTCGCTTTCGTTCTCGCTTTCGTTTCAGCCCGCGTTCTCGCTTTCGTTCTCGGCTCCATTCTCGCCTTCGTTCCCGCCTTCTTTGTCGTTCTCGTTATCTCTTTAGTTCTCGCCTTCGTTCTCTCCTTCGTTCCCGCCTTCGTTCTCGCCTTCGTTGCCTTCGTTCTCGCTCTCGTTCTCTCCTTCATTTCGACTTCGTTCTCGCCTTCTTTTCCGCTTTCGTTCTCGCCTTCGTTCTCCTCTTCGTTTCCGCCTTCGTGCTAGCCTTCGTTCTTGCCTTCGTTATTGCCTTCGTTCTCTCGCCTTCGTTCCCGCCTTCGTTTTTGTCTTCGTTCTCGATTTCGTTTTCGCTGCGTTCTCGCGTTCGTTTTCGCCTCCATTCCCGCCGTCCTCGCCTTCGTTTTCGCCCTCGTTCCCGCATTCGTTCCCGCCCTCGTTCCCGCCGTCGTTCTCGCCTTCGTTATCGCTTTCGTTCCTGCCTTCTTTGCCGCCGTCGTTATCGCCTTCGTTCTCGCGTTCGTTTTCGTCTTCGTTTCCGCCTTGCTTCTCCCATTCGTTCTCGCCTTCGTTCTCGCCTTCGTTCCCGCCTTCGTTTTCGTTCCCGTTTTCGCCTTCGCTCTCGCCCTCGTTCTCGCTTTCGTTCTCGCCTTCGTTCCCAAATTCCCTGTCTCCTTCGTTCTCGCCTTCGTTCCCGCCTTCCTTGTCGCCGTCGTTCTTCGTCATCGCTTTAGTTTTCGCCGTCGTTCTCGCCTCCGTTTTCGCCTTCGTTCCCGCGTCGCATTCGTTCTCGCTTGCGTTCTCGCCTTCGTTCTTGCCTTCTTTTTCTCTTTTGTTAATTATCGCCCTCGTTTTTGCGTTCTTCTCGCCGTCCTTTTCGCCTTCTTTCCCCGGTGCGTTCTCGCCTTCGTTTTCTCCTTCGTTCCCGCCTTCGTTCCCGCTTTCGTTCGTTTCAAACGGGCGTTCCCAAACCACGTGCCTTGTTTCTCCGAAACCAACCGGGTTTCCCAAACCAACCAGGTCTTGCCAAACCAAGCGCCCGGGTCTTCCCAAATCAAGCCCCTGTGTCTTTCCAAACCACCTGGGCCATCCGAAACCAAAGCCCTGGCTGGGTCTCCCCAAATCAACTGGGTCTTGCAAAAAAAACGGGTCTTCCCAGACCGACCGCCCGGGCCTTCCCGAGCCAACCGGGTCGTGCCAAACCAACAGGGTCTTCCGAAACCTAGTATCTTTCCAAACCACCCCCCCGGTCCTACCAAACTTACTTGGTTTTCCCAAAGCAATTGGGTCTTGCCAAACCTTGCCAAACCAAGCCCTTGGTGTTCTCCAACCAGCCGGGTCTTCCCAAACCAACCAGGTCTTCCCAAGCCAAGCCCCCAATCACTGTTACCGGAATTTTGGTCTGGGAAGGCCCGCTTGGTTTGAGAAAGACGCCCTTTCGTGGCCTTGGTTCACATTCAGTCAAAGTTGGTCCCGGGAGTCCTCTTGAGGTCCATCCTGCCTCGGTTATTCGAACCGCGTCCAGCCGTGGTGGCTAGAGGGGCTTTCGAAGGTCAACAACAAAAGTCGTCGTCGGTCGTCGGTCGTCGGTCGTCGGTCGTTGTCGTCGTCGTCGTCGGTCGTCGGTCGTCGGTCGTCGGTCGTCGTCGGTCGTCGTCGGTCGTCGGCGTCGTCGTTGTCGTCGTCGCTGTCGCCGCCGCCACACCTCTGTCCTCGTCGGGCGGCGCGCGCCTTGCGCGGCGATGCCGCGCACGAGAGCGGCGCTGCGTTGCGCGGTCTGCCACCGTCGTTCTACGCGGGCGAAGGGAGGGTGTGGGAAGCGGTATGGGCGGGGCCCGTCGCACGCCGAGCGTGGACGAATTTTTCTTGGCCTCCCCAGGGCGAATCCGAGATCCAACGATCGCATTCCTTTCTCATCCCGATTCGGGGGGCGGTCCGCCATGCGACCGGACGATGAAGAACTGCCCGGGGGGGTGGTCGCAGTGCCCCACAGGGCCATGCCGTGTGCTCATTCCTGGAGTCAGGAGTGGAGCGGCCGCTGCACGGTGCATGGCGTCTCCGCGCGCTTCACTGTAGCATCAGAGGCACAGAGACACTTTGCGCGCCACGGAATGAGTGAGTGAGTGTGGGCCCCACTGGGGAAGTGAGTGGTCCAAGCCATGTTCCCGATTCGTCGTCGTCACCGTCCGGGCCGCCTGGCCGCAGCTGGCGACCCACACGAGAAACAGTTCATCAAGCTTTTTGCTTCCATCGCCCTCGCCCAGGCTGGCTGTTTTTGATCGTGCTTCCCTGCTCCCCCTTTGGGCGCCCCTCCCCGCCCCCCGCTGTGCCCGGCGGGCCGGGGGCGCTGGCGCCGGCCGCAGTTCTGCTCGAGCGGGGGCCCCCTGCCGTCCCCTCCAGCGGCGGCTGCCCCCCTCCCTCTCTCTCTCTCTCTCTCTCTCTCTCCCAGCGGGCCCACCCTGTCCATCCCGGCAGGGGGGGCCTTGCCCTCCTTCTGCTGGCCGGCACTTGTTCGGTGCCACCTCTCTCCCCCCCCGCCCCGTGCCGCAGCGCCCCCGATGCCGCTGGCGACCGGCGCCGCTGCCCCGCTGCGGGCCTTCGCTGGCTCTGGGGACCCTCCTGCTGCCCCCGCCGGGCGCCTGCATGGTGCCTGCCCTCTCGCCGCCCCCCCCGCGCTTGACGGTGCGCGGCGCCGCCGCCGCCGCTCTGCCTCCCCGCCCGTGGGTTTCACAGGCAGGGCGTCTTCCTCCCTGTTCACTTCTGCCCCTCCCGCCTGCTCTCCCTCGCTTCGCGTGCCGCCGTGGCGCTGCCGGGCTGCTCGCAGCCGCCGCGCTGGCACTTTGGGCTTGGGCTTGCCGCCCGCCGCCTGCGCCCCAGCTTTTTGCTGGACACCACGGCCGCCCCCGCCTTGGGCCACGTGCGGCCACCAGACGTTGGCTCCACGCTGACCGTTTTTGCGCCCGTGCCCCATTGGGGTGGCCCCCGCTCCCGCACTGCGCCCCGCCGCCGCTGGCCCCCCCCCCGGTGCAGCAGCCGCCACGGCCCCGCCGGCGGGGCTGGCCGCGCCACGCGCTCGGGGCGTGGCGCGGCCTCGCTCCCTTCCCCCACTTTTTCGGCCGTTTCTTCAGCCCTGTTCCGTACTTTCCTGCATGGTGGCGCAATTCGCTGCAACGACACTCCCGTTTAGGCAGCCTTTTCGCCAACGCAGTTATTCTGCCTAGCCGCCGACGGACAAGTGTTTGATCGTACTTTCTGTTTTTGCTTGCTCCGTCCGAAAGGCGGGTGCGGAATCGGCGGCACGCGGCCTGTTTCGGCCCCGCCGCTGGGCGCGCTCTTCGATGGGCGGTCGCCCCCGGCGCATCCAGGCGCGGGGAAAGCCAGCTGCGTGCAACTGTGTTGCTGACCCCCTGTGTCTTTGGGGGGGCCCGTCACGCAGCAGCGCCCCCTGTCGACGAACGAACAACTATAGGTATGGGTTTGGGTTGTCGGACCCTGGGGAGGCTCCCGTCCGAGCGGTCACCCCCATCCGACCACACGCATTCATAGCCCCCGTCCGTTCCCTTTATGGGTATCATTATGTGTTGTTCGTTTGATGTTCGTCGCCGTCGTTGAGATTCGTTGGTCGTCCCTTCCGGAATTTTTCCGAGCGGCAGAGAACAGCTTCTGATCATTCCCCATGTGTTGTGTTTCTTAATCGCCATCCAGCATTACTCCCCCTCCTCCCTGTCGTGCATCCCGGACGCGGGTTGTGTTGCTGTCGCCGCTGCTGCTGTTCCCCTCCCGGCACCCAGCGATTGCAGGTGTCGCAGGCGCTGGCTCCGCCGCGGGTCCGCCTCGACGACGTCGCGCTGTCGCTCGGCGGAGCCAGGCGGGATGGGTCGGGAGGTCAAGAACGTGCCATTTACACGCTGACGCTGGGCGCCCGTCAACGTGCTGTGTTTCTTTTTTTGTCCGACGACACGGTGTTTTTTCAACGGAAACGCGTTGATGTGCTCCCGGCCCGAAAAAGACGCGATGGCATGCACAGAAATGTCCGGAGCTCCGCGCGGAGTTCTTCGATCTGCTCTGTTCCAGTCTGGTTACGCCCGATCCAAGAAATCGGCGCGGACTTTCGAAAGTATATTTTGCAGCTGATTGTTGCTTGAGTTTTGTCAACAGTAACACGCTGATGGGTTCTCCACAGCGGCGTCGGTTGATGCCGTTTTAGCCCACCCAGTGGGGTGGGGAGCAGGAGGAGCCCACTCGGGGGGGCCCTCTCCTCGGAGAAGACGGGCAATACATCGTCGGTCCGAAAGTTCCTTGGATTTTCTGAATTGGGCCCAGTGGCAGTGTGTGCTCACCTACTTCGCAGCCCTCTTGGCAACGGCCCCCGATGGGGTTGAGGGGCAGGATGCGTTGAACCCCCCTCCCCCCCCTAGAAGCCTAGCAAGATAGCCCTCTTGTGTGGTCTCGGCGGGATCCTTGACGAGTTGTTCCCCCTTGTAATCCTATAGTCTTAGTGCGGGCAACCATAAACCCCACCCACAAACAATAGGGTCCAGATGAATCCCGCAGTGGGACCCAATCCCGCCAAAGTATGACGTGTTCGGGCCATCTTGAAGTCATGTTGGAATCATCACCAGGTCATCCTAAGATCATGGTGTTGCACTCTCGGAATGCTCCGGCCACCTCGGGGTCGTTCGGGGCCACCGCACCTGGTTTCCAGGGCATCGCTCGCATCTTGGGCCATCTTGGATTCGCCCCCAGGCCACTTCGACGCTGCGTCTGGATCCCGCAGGGGCCACGGGGTCTTCTTGGGGTCGGCCCGAGGGCATCTTCGTGTCGGTCTGAGGCCGTCGTGGAACCATCTTGGGGCCATGGGGCCGCCTAGGCATCCTGTCTGGGTCGTCTGGAGGTCCTCCGCGGTTTTAAGGAAACTTTGGTTACGCCTGTATGCTCTTCCCTTTTGCAGGGTTCGTTGTTAGGTCCGATCGGTTCGACTTGATGTTGATTCCGGCCGGATCGACCGGACTTGATCCTGAGACAGCAGACACATAAGACAGGAAATTGTATTTTTTGAAACAACTCGCACGAGTTGGGAGGGGCCTATGTGCTCCGCATAATATTTCGTTGCAAGGAATTCGTTTCGCTTGCATGGGAAACCGTATTTTCTGCATATGATTCCGGCCGTATGGGTACAACACCGTATTTTTACAAGGGAACGTGGGGGGCGCCGAAGCGGCGGCAGCAGGGACGTCCAGGATTTTAGGGTTTCAATCGCTATAGGCTCGTAGATCTAAGGTGGTAGGAGTGTCAGGGTGGGGTATTGGCGTTAACGTAGAAGGATGGTAGGGATCGGGTTCCGGAGACAGGGTGGCGGCGCGGACGGACCACGAAAAGGTGGGGAGGGGGGGGACGGGGTTCCAGACCCCCCCTAGGGATCGGGTTCCGGAGCCAGGGTGGCGGCGTGGACGGACCACGGAAAGGTGGGGAGGGGGAGGGGAGGGGGTTCCAGACGCCCCACACCTTCGGGGGCATCCAGCGGCGCGCCCTCGTGGTGCTTTTCGTGGAGACGACGGGTGTGGAGATTTGCGCACACGGTTGTTTGCAAGTCCACCAGGAAGTGGACATTACGATCTGCAATTTGGGATACCAGCCGAGACGAACGAGCCGAGCGGAAAGAAGGCTGCCTAACACGCTGCGCAAGCGGTGGTATGATGAAATGTGCGGGTATCTACGAAGTCTGGGCATGGATGCCGAAACAGAGAACTGGCACCAATTACTTACTAAAGAAGAATGGCATGCTCTCGAATTTGGGTTTGTGCACATCTCGTACTGGGCGCTTTGTGCGCTGCGCGCCCATTCCTTTCGACGGGGCAGCTCTGCCGAAATAGCGTCCGTCCGTCCGTCCGACAGGTTTCGTCAAACCCTGGCGGTCAGACAGAAGGAGTCTTCCTGATGGTCCCTCTCATCGATGTTTTCGTAATGATCGCGGGATCTCTCTCTCCCTTTTTCTTCTTCTGATGCGCGCCCAGGGGACGGGAGCGTCTCCAAGGGTTCCCCGAAACCGTTTTCAATGAGATTCGGGAGGGAAACAACACACACAGACACCATTAATCGTCGATTCCCCAGAAAATATGGGAACATATGGGAAGTGGGGGGAAAGACAAAACCCCAGAAAATATGGGATAATGTGGGGAATCTTTTCATTCGTGTGTATTTATTTGTGTGTCCCAGGGCCCCTTCAGAGACGCCAGACCCTGGCCCTCTCGACCCCTTCCCAAGGGGCCGGTTTGTGGTGGCTTCTGGCGGTCCTGTTGGGGCGAGGGAGCCGGCCCCCAGACGGCGACGCCCGGGCGCCGAGACGATCGGAGGACCCATGACTTGATGGTCTGGGCCCGCCAGGCGTCTGGGGAGGGGGCGGTGGTCGGGAGGACACGACAGGGACGGGTGGGTGGGACTGGCCCAGGGGGGCCAGCATGGAGGAGGAGGAGGAGGAGGAGGAGGAGGAGGAGGAGGAGGGGGAGGGAGGAGGAGGAGGAGGAGGAGGAGGAGGAGGAGGAGGAGGAGGAGGGGGGAGGAGGAGGAGGAGGATCGGAGGAGGGGGAGGAGGAGCAAGCGGCTGTGCCACCGAGGGCCTATCGCCGATCCATGTGCGACGCACCGCGCCGATGCCATGCCAACGCTGTCGGACGGGGCCAGGACGAGGATGAATCCTTTCCGGGGCGTTCTGGAGCGTGGCGCGACGCTTTGAGAAGGATTTTTTCTGCGCTCAAGGTCCCCCTGTAGGGGTACAGGCCCGACTTTGCGCCAATCCCGGACATCCGCCGATCCGAGTTTTCCCGTCTGCTGCGGCCGAGGAGGCCCCAACCCCTCCTCCTCCTCCTCCTCCTCCTCCTCCTCCTCCTCCTCCTCCTCCTCCTCCTCCCTCCTCCCCTCCTCCCTCCTCCCTCCTCCTCCTCCTCCTCCTTCCCCCTCCCCTCCCCTCCCCCTCCTTCTTCTCATCCTCCTCCTCCTCCTCCCCCTCCGCTTCCTCCTCCTCCTCCTCCTCCTCTCCTCCACCTCCTCCTCCTCCTCCTCCTCCCCCTCCTCCTCCCCCTTCTCCTCTGCCCCGGGCCAGCCCTTCGCCCCGGTCCGCGCGTCGGATCGCCCCCCCCGGGGGCCCGACGCCGGGCCCGGGGCTGCAAGGCGGGAGGCGCGCGCGGGCTCGAGGGCAGCGTGGCGTCGGAGATCTGTGGGAGGGAACAAAAACACACAGGCACAATTTATCAGAGCCTCCTCCTCCTCCTCTCTTCCTCCTCCTCCTCCTCCTCCTCCTTCTCCTTCTCCTCCTCCTCGTCCAGGCGAGGCCCTCAGCGTGCCCTGCGCTTCCCACTGCGCGGGTGCAGACTTGGCTAGTCCGCGACCCGCTCTGAGCGCAGGAGGGGCCGGGAAGGAACTGCGCTGCCGACATCGGGAGCCTTGAGTCAGAGCCCCGAATCATCAGGGGTAACTCGGGTCAGGGATAACTCGGGTTCGTTTTTCGGGAATCCAAACCCGAGTTACCCCGGACCCGAGTTACCCCGGATAACTCGGGCGCCCAAATTTATCGTCGATCCCCCGGAAGATATGTGAAAGTATGGGAAGTGGGGGGGAGGACAAAACAACCCAGAAAATGTATGACAATATGGGGATTCCTTTTTGTTTGCGTGTGTTTATTTGTGTGTCTCAGGGCCCCTTCAGATCTGGCCGTCGCGACTGGCTCTCCGGTTCACAGCCTGGAACAGATCCGTATGCCTGTGCAAGTCGATTGATGGAGAGGAAACGTGCTGCCACGTAATTCCCAGATGTCTAGACCACGTGTTGCAACTGTTAAAACGATTATTGAAAACAAGAAACATGATTTAGACATTGTCATGACATTTCCCCACATTGTAAACACATTATTAATTCGATGATCGGACTGTCAGGGTGTCCATTATCGTGGCATCCACAACCTTGGCCTTATGATTGGCACCACCTGATCTCGATGCTGCTCCCAGGGATCCTACGAGTCTCTAAACGCGCACCCCTGAGACTGTCATCTCATTTGGGCCCGTCGAGGGACAAGTATCGAGGCTGCTTATCCGCCTGCGGGAAGGGCCCCCTGGACGTAGGGGTCGGCGGCGCAGCCTGCGGGCGGGCTGCTCGGGAAGGGCCCCCCCGGTCGGCAGTCTGTTTTCGAAGGGCCTTCCGGTCGCTAAGGATACGCCAAGGCTGGTTATCCCACGATTCGGGTGTTGCTAGAAGTACGCCTGGTCGAAGGTACCCCCAGGATTCTCGGGTGGCCCAGACGGCCTCCAGGGCACCCTTCACGAGGCCCAGGGGGCCCCAGGGGCTACAAAATCGTGCGAAGAGCTGGGGGCACCTTGGGCCAGGGGCACTTCTAATTAGCAACACCCGAACGATTGCGGGAAGGGCCCCCCGGCCGCAAGGGACGGCGGTGCCGATGGCGGCGGGCTGTTCGGCCGCCCCGCGGCGGAGGCGCCGCCGCTGGCCAGCGGAGGCCGGCGCTGCTGCGGGGACGGGCCTGAGCTTCGCAGCGCCAGCTCGCTGCGGGCTGCCTTCTCGTCCTTTGTATGTCCTGGGGACTGCTTCCTCTCATGTCCGACGATCTGGATCTATATATAATACATCCATGTATACATTCACATGCATATGCATTCACATATGCATAGACATGTGTGTGTATGTGTGTGTTCATAATGTATGTATGTATGTATGGGTGGATGGATGGAACGTTGTATTTAGGTAGGATTATCTGCATATGTTTATGTATATGTATATGCATGTGTTTCTGTATGTGCATGTGTATGCGTATGTGTAGATGTATGTATATGCATACTAAACGTATGTGTGTATGTGCACGTGTTTACATTTGCACATGCAGATGTATATGTGCATGTAAACGCACATGTGAAAGCACATACAATTATACATATAGGTGTATATATGTGTACATGTCTATGCATGCATGCATGCATGCATGCATGCTCTTACGTATGTATGTGTGCAAGTCTGTATGTATGCATGACTGTAGACATGTATGCATGTATGCATGTATGCATGAATGCATGTATGCATGCATGTATGAATGCATGCATGCATGCATGCGTGCACATACATATATATAGATATCGGTGTATGTATGTATGCATGTATGTATATATGGACGTATGCATGAACGTATGTATGTATACATGCATGTATGTCTGTGTGTATGACTGTATATTTGTGTGTATGTATGCATGCGCGTATGTATGTATGCACGCACGCATGCATGTTTGTATTTTTTGTATGTATAGATATATGTATATATACGTATGGTTTGCACGCATGTATGCCTGTCGGTATGTATGTATGCATGTATGTATGTATGCATGTACATACGTATGTAACTATCTGTTGGTGTATGCATGTATGTATGTATTTGTTCATGTATGTATGTATGTCTGTATGTATGTGTATGCATGCATGTATGTAGGTATGCATGCATGCATGCATGCATGCATGCATGCATGTATGTATGTATGTATGCATGTATGTATGTATGTATGTATGTATGTGTGTGTATGCATGTATGTATACTTTTATGTATGTGTATGTATGTATGCATGTTTGTATGAATATGTGCATGCACGCACGCATGTATGCACGCATGCATGTATGTATGTTTGTATATGTGTATGTTTGTACGCATGCATATATATATATATATATAGGTATACATGTGCGCAGGCAGGTATGTATGTACATATTGCTGTTTGTATGTGTGTATACATCTATATATATATACATATGTGTGTGTGTGCGTGTGTGAGTCGGACTCGGGTGGGGGGGGAGGGGGGGGGGGCAAGACCAGTGCCTCTGTGTGACAAGGGGGCCCCCGCGCGCCAAACGGGCCCTCGAGGGGGCCCGGAGGATACCAAAAGGCGCCCTCAAGGGAGCCACCAGGGGGGGGCGCGCCGCCCTCCCCGCCCGAAGCGCCGCCTCCACGCTGCCACCGCGAGTGGCTGTGTGATCGGTCGGGCCTGCAGCTGGCGAAGCTCGCAATCGCTCTCCGAGGCTCGCCGCGCGAAGCTCGGTCAACACTGGAGATGATTATTCCCCTGGGAAGATCCTGATCATCTCGTCGTTTGCTGCCCCTCTCTGACGTCGATAACGCCTCGCCTGCTCTCGCGCTCGCCCCCTTCTGCTCCCCCTCCGCACCCCTCTCTCAAGCGGCCCCCGGCCCGAGTCCTAGCTGCGCGCCCCCGCGGCCCGACCCCGCCCGTCAGACGTAGCTCGTGCCTCATGTCGACCACACGGCAGAGGTCGATGCCCGTTGACGAGTACATCCCTAACTTCTCGTGGGGTGAGTGGGCCGAGCTGCCGCGAGAAAAACGAGATGCAGGTTTTCAACTCATGCAACACCTCCGGGCTTGAACGTTCAAAGCCCTGGGCGCGCTGTGGAGGCCCCATGTGGGCCTTGAATGTTCAGAACCCTGGGCCAGTTGTGGAGGCCCCATGCGGACCCCGACCACGCGCGGGCGTTGGGGGGTTGGTCGCGGACGGGGGGGTTGTCGGTCTATGAGCGGGTGTGGTTTCGCCGTGCCCGCCAAGGCATTGCTCGCGACTTGCAAGCTGACGGCGCAGGGTTTCGCCACTGCTGGTCATTTTGCCGACAAGGCGGGGGTAACCGGCGCAGATTTCAAAAAGTTTTGGATGCCTCCTGGTCTTGCCTCAAGCAGGTACCAGAGTCACTTGGATACAAAGCTGCGCGCGCACATGCTTGCGTGCCTAGCTTCCCGAGCCACCGTAGCCATTTTGGCTCAAGCGGCTCAGTCTCCATCCCCTTCGCCGCGGCTCCCGCGATGTCGGTGGGGGGTGGCGCCAAGGTGGTGGCTACGGGCGGCGCTCCTGGCGCTGACACCGCGCTGAGCGCGGTGGTGTGTGCGGCCGTGCAGGCCGTCACCTGCGCGCCGTGCTCCAACGGGCGGGCTACGCTGCTCGTGGCGGCGGTCGTCCGCGCTGCCGCGGCTCCCGGTGGCGGTGGAAGCGACCAGGCTCGGCCGCATCGCGCCCGTGCTGCGGGAGCGCACGCGGGCTGGCAAGGCCGGCGTCGAGGCAGTCATCACGGGTGGCAGGCGCACGCTGCGCAACCACTCGTCGCACGCTGACTTCGGGTGCGGCGCGGCGGAGTTCCCCAAACCGCCGCGGAGGCCAAGTTGCGCGTGCAACATGGGCGCGGTGGTGTTCGTTGACCACAAGGTGTGGCTGCCACCCGGTCCGCGCCCGACATCCACCAGATCCTGGAGGACCACCCCGAGGAGGCGCTGGGCTCTCAGAAGCTTGGCGAGACGTTGCAGAGCAAGGTCGAGAAGCGCCAGCGCGAGTCCGTCGACGGGGACGTGGTGATCCTGGAGACCACTCGGTTCCACAAGGGGGCCACCAAGAACGGCAAACATGGCTCCAAGTACGATAAGGAGGAGGAGCTGGCGAAAAAGGGCCTGAAGGCGGATTCCGAGACACCCTCGAAATTCATGAAGGAAGTGCTGAACGACAAGGCGGTGAATTTTGTAGGCTCCACGCAGATGGCGGACACACCCTGCGTGCTCAAGCCTACCGAGTACTACTGGTCCGTCAACATGAAGCGCACCACGAAGGAGTCCACGACCCATCACGGCACAGGGAAGTCCAACACCATGGATGCCAGGGCATGAGTAAGTCCTGCGACTCCTTCGGCATGTACAACTCGTACGGCAAAGGAAAGGCGGGCTTCGAGCCTCTCCGCGACGGCAAGGGCAATAACAAGGACAACGGCCTCTGATCCGCCCTCCGCCGCAAGCCTGCAGCTACAGAGGCTTTAGGTATTGGGATCTAGGACGCCAGAGCCTAGTTCCTTCTGCCCACGAGTGAAACATAGCTTCCCGAACACCGCGTGATCGTTTGCCTCCCTTCGCCCGTTTTGTCTGGGCAGGCGGATGCACGGATGCAGTTCGATACAATTCGATCTTGGGAAGTGCCGCCGGCAGCGTGTCGGGGTTCTGGCTGGTGAACATGGTGACGTCCAAACGTCACTTCGCTGCCGCAGTTAGGAATGCACAGCTGTGTAGATGTGGGTGCACGGGGTGGCGTAGCATGCGCATCGTTTTGGCGCATGTGAAATGTGTGCTCGAAGTGATGCAATCTGGCAGGCGTCCCGCTACTAGGTACAACGGCTCGCCGTGCCCCGCCGTACTAGACACGAGGAGGGATGCGTGCGGGGACAGTGTAAGGTTATCTGCTTGCGCGTGCTGGTTAAAGGGGGGCCAGAGCGACGTGCACAAAACGCATAGGCCCCCGAACGCTGGATCTCAGCATGCACCCTGTCCGCTTGCAAAACTGAACAACGCACAATGCATATGCGTTACAGGGGCATGTCTTCTCAAGCGCCCCCCTTCGAAGCCAAGTTCCGGCGTTTCGAATGCGCTGCAAATGGTTTGCGAATTGGCGTGGCCGTCCACAGAAACCGTTTCTAGATTGTGCCATCGACGTGTTGCATTCGCTCTGTTACGGTCCAATTCACATGTATGCGGCCGCAACAGTGTGGAGAATTTTGCATTCGATGGCGGAAGGTAGGGGGGGGTCGGAGGGGCGATGTTTTCGATTTGAGTCTAAATCAGATGCGTAGATATTTTGGGGGGCTGGTGCGATGCTGAGAGGGTGCCGCACAACGAGCGGGTTTACGACCCTGCGTTGAGCATGCTTGGGGTCGACACGCGGGACTCGACCCACCGCGGGTACCCAGTGAAAATAAAAGCGCATGCCACTATGATCATTATGGGTTTTATAACCAATATGTTGGGAACCACTGCCACTGCACCATGCAACACATTGCTGACGAGGGCGGGCATGGCGATGCGACATTTCTTAAACGCACTCAAAGGCGAGGACATGGTGGTGCAATCCTATAAGCTTCAAGAGGTTTTCGACAATCGGCAGAAACGCTTGCTATTCCTGGCGCGCTCCGCGCGCCAGGGAAGGGATGCCCAGCGCGTATCCGAAAGCTCCGCGCGGACCTCCGCGTTTTCTGTTTATGTTTTTTGTTTCCTTCACGGCGTGCGCTGTTCGGGACATCGCATGCCACTTTATTTGCTTATGCCACTTATGAAACATGTGAGCACCGTCACGTGAGCTCTCTTGAGACGATGCAGCGACGATACTAGGCAGGTGCCATCGCGCTTCACGCCTCCGGACAAACGAGAACAACGCGCGCTGGCAGGCCTCTTCGGCGCTCCGGACAGGCCGGCCTGCACGTTTTTTTTTTTTTTTTTTTTTTTTTTTTTTTTTTTTTTTTTTTTTTTTTTTTTTTTTTTTTTTTTTTTTTTTTTTTTTTTTTTTTTTTTTAT